TCGACGGCATTGGGCGCTATCCAATCTGGTGTACCAGCTGCGGACGCTTTGGAAAGAAAGGCCGCTCGGTCGGGTCGTGATGGCCTGTGGTCCAGTCTTTCCTACACTTTCCTGCCGAGAATTCTTAGATGATCTTTTGACTTGGTAAGTCTACCTACTATCCCTAATAACCCCTATTGTAAGCCCTATAACCCAAGTTACCAAGTAGACCTTGAACCCTAAACCCTATGTATTTCTACATACCCCTACATATCCCCCATATTCCCTGTAAAGGGAGGAGACTTATTAAGTCAAGGGATCTTTCAAGTTTCCATTCATGAAGGCTCCTGGCCTCGCGCGTTATTGGGCCGAAGCTATTTGTCAGAAGGGCATGTGCCAACACAGGGGTCCGTGTCTGTCTGCTGAAAAGTGGGCCCCTCAACGTAAAGCTAATAGGAATAGTAATAATAATCGTAGTAGTAACAGTTTGAGACGGGATGTTACCTTGGCACATGTAGGCTCCCTGACACGCAAAAACGAAGTGTACACCGCATGGCAGGAAAGAACAGAGGAGGATCACTGCCGACTTCCTGCGAAGGCAATTTGCTGTGCTGATTATCCATATATCCCCACGCGGCTTCGGGTTTTGGGCTGTTTATTTATGAGTCTGCTGTGCTGATTATCGGTTTTCGCCAGAATCTTGAAAAGGAACAACTTTCTGTTTCCTTGTGGTTCATTGTCAACACGGCAGAAGTCTGACTTGGTGAAACCGTTACAATCCACAGGTCAGGTGAAGCTATGATCAGATTATCCCCCGTAGAATGCCTAAAGGGGACATCCTTGGCCGGTGATAATGGGTGGCTGACGAGAATTAAAGAGACACAAATCCTAAACCCGAAACCCTAGGATCCTCTCCCTGGCAAAAGCTCCATAACACCCTCGGCCTTAACCCTCATATACCTTGGACACTGCCCCCACTCATTAACAGCTGACTAATATTTAGGATGGAACTCCCATTAATGGATGGGGGCAGGACCCGAGACATACCCACTCACTTTTTGGGGGCCATCCCATCCCAAGACCCAAACCCTAAACCCCTAAACCCCTAAACCCCTAAACCTCTTTACCCTAAACCCTGGGCTTTAGGCGGGCCAGCCCAAAGCCCAGAACAAAGACCGCAACCTCTAGGGAATAAGGACTGTAACCCCAGATAATCCCTATACTAACATATGTTATCCCCTTAGCCCTAAACCCTACTAAGGACCAGTACGTTTGCGAAAGAGCGCCTCTAAGCAGCCCAAGTTCAACAAACATGCCCGGCACATTGAATTTCGTAAATCCTACGGTTTAGGGGTTTACGGTTTAGGGTTGAATGAACAACAGCAGTACTAACGCTTCAAGCTCAAGCCATAAAGCCGCAGACAGGATCAACCCCTGGGATTCTTTGTGATTTTTTCGGACCCTATAAGCCCTGAAACTGAGGCAAAGCTTAAGCCCAGAACCCGGAGTTGCCTTACCGCAAACCCCAAACCCCAATCCTTAATTAAACCCTGAACCTTTCAGAGCTTTGACGAGTGGAAAAAGGGTCCTTTAAACACCCCTGAGGCATCAGATCCCACAGCTGCTGAGCATTCGCGTCCAGAGACACATTGACTGGCTTCAGTGGCGTCCTTGGCTTCGGAGTTTGTGGGAAAAAGGAGGATTAGGGTTTAGGGTGTAGGGGCTAGGGTTTACGGTTTAGGGTCATGGTCCCTTTTTTGCGTCTCTAGTATGATAAGGTCTTCGGTATTAAGGGTACCCCAAACAAACCATAGATTCTACATCCTCTCATCGCGTAGGGGTGAGGGTTTGTATATGGGATTATTGGGGCTTTAGGATGAATACTGTAGGGGCCTAAATATTTACTAATATCATCCCCAATAATGGAGAATCAAATGGAAAAGAAAATGGAAAATGAAATGGAAATTTGGGTTATATAGGGACTTATAGGGATGATTACCAATATGATGGTTCCCTGTTCCTTGTATGATTTTAGTATATGGTGCCTCGAATGGACCTCATACCTTTTAATTATCTAGGCTCCTGTAGTAGCATGATTTTTGCTGGTTAAGGCTTTAGGGTTTAAGGTTTAAGGACCATGACCGCATCGCCACATGCATGCGGTGAACTTTAGAAAGTAGGTTCTTCCAATGCATGTTCCATTCTTTTGGCAGCATTCACCTGAACGCTACATATCCGTAAATATGACCCTATATTTTCTCATATTCCCTACAGAACCCCTGTATGTTCCCTGTATAACCCCTAAACCCTACAACCGTAAACCCTAAACCCCTAGAACTCTAAAGGCCAAAGACTTTAAAACCCCCCAAAAAAAACCCAAAGCCCTAAACCATAACTCCAAAATCCTAAACCCTCAAAACCTTTTATCCTAAACCCCTAAACCCCTACAACTCTAAAGGCCCTAAACCCCTAAACCCCTAGATCGTAAACCCTAAGCCCTCCTATATGACTCCTTTATGTCTCCTCGATGCAGGCTTCACCAGTTCCGACCCAAAGATGCTGAGAAGGCGATTTGAACGTCGGCATTTGTTTAGGGTTTAGGGTTCAGGGTTTAGGTATGTTGGGCTTAGGGTTTCAGGGTTTAGGATTCAGGGGTTCAGGGGTCTAGGGTTTAAGGGTTTATGGTTTAGGTCTAGGGTTCTGGGGTTCAGGGGGTCTAGGGTTTTAAGGTTTTAGGGTTTTAGGGTTTCGGGTTCAGGTAGTCATCACTTGGAAGTTCAGGTTAGTTCTTGCCCCAATATACGTGTACTCATAACCCGCTTTTAAGCCCCCTGAGACTCTAAAATGAAGAATAATTTGGGTTATGAGTACCAGTTATATCTGGCTTAGATTTACCCTGAACCTTCAAGTAGGGTTCAGGGGTTTAGGATTCAGGGCTTGGGGTTTCACGGGGCTGTAGGTTTACGGTTTAGGATTTAGGGCTCAGGGTAATCCGTTCCCCATATTAATAAAACCCACCCTAATAATGAATAGTAAATCCGGGACCCTAAAAATTCC